TTGGTATGTCGGCAACGTCTCAAGTCCTTCCGCTGCCGAACTCGTGGCTATCGTGGCTTATGCAGGGATGCCGGTGACAGGGGCTGCCTGCTGCGGGTGTGTGATGTCCGACCTCGGAACCCCCGAAATATCAATCAAATGAGCGACCACAGCTGTTCCCATGCTAACAACTACCGGTAAATGAATGCCGAGGTCCAGGCCATCATTAGCCTTGCCAAGTCGCATCGACGCCAAGAGATGTTTGCCTGCCTAGATCCAGAAGGAAAAACATACGGTGAGAATAGTGAGCTTTTTTTTATTTATTGCGGTGGATGATGGGGGTGAATAGCAGAGGGAGGAGTTGCTTGAGTGGCTGCTTGAGCGACTGCTGGTAGAACTCACCCATCGTGCAGAGCGGCATTGAGAACTACTTGTTCCCTCCTATCGCTCAAAGCAAACAATATTACAAGCATAAATTCAGAACGTTGACAAACAAAAAATGACAACCACAGCATACGCGCAAGCATTGGCACGAGCTCACTTTCCGCACCTGTACATGCAGCCACAACCTCTCTCCCGTGTACCTACAACCCCTTTATATCAAAACTGAACAGCACCGCTCGCTTTAGCATTCCACGCCCAGCTCAGCCAGACTTCCTCCTCTGACCATATTTATAGACCTGGTCCATCTGAAGCCATATGCACTTACAAGTTCAAGCCCCTTGTACCCCATCAATTGATTACGAGAAAATGGGTATAAAAGTCTGCAACGAGCTCCAGGGAGAACCTGCTCACACGCCGGCAGGGACTCTAGAGATCACAACAGAAGACTCTAATGCCCCTGGCATTTGCTTGCCGACAAAAGCAGATACTGAGGTAATCCCCCGTTCAGTTGTCGTTCGAACCAGGTTGAAAAATGTTTCTAGACACTTCTGCTGAAAAACAAAGATATGACTGAAAACCAAGAAATTATCAGTACATGGGGGTGAAACTTTGATGAAACGAAACCCTGGAGAAGTCAATGTGGCATACATAAGGTGCACATCTTGAGATAGCATGCCGAATCCTAATTGTCCACCCAATTGTCCACCCTACATCGTACTCCATCTCCACTCACCTACTACGATCCCTCGCGTACAGAGATAGCGCACGCACGCACCCACGCACGCACGCACCCACGCGCGGCTATTTCCTCGCTAACCCTTTCCAATTCCTGTCTCATTCTGCAATATCAATTGCTCCATGGTTGGTGATACTTGCCAGGAGTTAACTGCATGTATTGCGCCTTCTGCGTATCGTGCTGTATCCCATCCCACTCCACCACTGTCTCGAGTGCGGTCTACCGCATTCCCACGCGATGCTTCACACAGATTAGCTCACTCCGCACAGTCGCACAGTGGCACAGCCGCAATCGCACACACCTCACACAAGCTGCATGCATACACACGCTTTCACAACACTCACAGCGAGCACAACAACCCTATTGAGTTCCTTAGCCTTACCCGCTTCCTCATTCTTTATTTCAGTAATGTCCCCATCCACTTGAAATCCCATGCAGCCCCATAGCCAAGTAGTTAATACATCGTTGCTTGCCTTCCTGCGCCTTTATACTTCGACAAGAGCTCACTCCCAGCCCAATACACAGGCCACCTACAGTAGTAAGATTAACTTCCTAGCTCCCCAACTTTATCCCCACAAGCTGTCAATCAAAGTTAAGCTACTGACGATACCAAGCAACCAACTCCGACAATAACCAGCCGTAAACGTCACCACCATCAGAATAACACCCTTTATCCCCCAAACAGCCCAATCAATTGAGAGCACAACAGTGCGGCTCTGCGGTGGGCGAGGGTGGGGGCCGGAAGGTGCACTTATGCGAATTTGATTATGTTTGCTGCATTTCAAATCATATAGAGATATAATATATAGGGCGGAGCGATATACTGATATACACATACGGGAAAATATTGTGTCAACACTATACGAAGCGGCTGACACATTAAACTCACCTGGCGATTCCTAATCCAGATAACAGTAGCGCTAAATCGCCGTTATTATGGTTCGACAACTTCCAACTCTCCTTCACCGCACACCTAATAACCACCCAACCACCCCACCTCTCCCGTCCCCACCGATAGGAGGCTATGATACTCCCCCTGAGCCTACTATTGCATCCACCCGTGCACGGAGATCCGAGGCGGTGTATATGAGGAGCTATGTTCCTCATCCACTAGACCTTGAGGCCGCAATCCGAGCTGATTCTGATGTCGATGGAGATGTGGTTATGACAATTGGGGGAAGTCCAGTTGGGAAATCCAAGACAGGGAAGAAGGGGAAAAGAAAGAGTGATGACGTAGTAGGATTAGAAGGTCAAGTGGGACAAGAGGAAAATGAGGCCATGGGCGAAAACATTGGGTTTGGAGGAGCTGGAGATGACACCGAAAAGAAGGGGAAATCGCACGAGATGGAGGAATATGAACAGGAAGGCAAGAATAAAATGAGGAAAAGAAGGGTAGTAGAAGACGACGAAACCGATGAAGAGATTTTGGAGAACATTGGAATGGTACATGATGCGTTGAAAAGGGAATTAACTGCGACTGGTTCAACCATCACAATGTGGGGCACTGGCTCAAGCGGTAAAAACGTACTGGGCTATGAGGATGTAACGATGATAGATTTGGCGAATGTACCGGATGACAGTGATGAGGAAGTGGAAGAAACTATTGGGCCGAAGGATAGGACGAAGACCTTATCTCCACCAGTAGCACCTCCATGCGCACCATTCCCGTCGCCGAGGAATAGAAACCAATCCGTCTCCTCTGCTGCTGCTACTTCTCCTATATCTACAAAGGGAAAAGGAAAGGCGAAGGAAAAGACGACAGTGATACCAAAGAAGAAAGGGGCATTGTCGGATTTGCCAGAGTTCTCTTCGTCATCAGGTGACGAAAATTTTGCGTATCTCTCGCGCATCAAGACGCAAAAAAGGCCTATTGAATTGGCTACCACTTCTGAATCCTTGTTCAGGAGCGTACATGTAAAGAAGCAACGTACAAACGATAATAAGGCCGTGACAAACTGTGTGAAGTCACCCGCTATCTCACCTACCAAGTCAGCACCCACGATACACAGCATCCAAGCAGCAGCACAGAAAGCGGAGAGGCGGGCACCCACTGCTCTACAGATCAAGGGCTCACGAGATACATCTGACGAAGCATCACCTCCACCTCTTTCCAGCCCCCTTGTTCCCCGGTTGAGGATACAGCTGGCAGGAGACCTAGAGACATGGGCTGTTCCAATCGATAGAGTGCGCACACCACAACAGCTAGAGCAGGCGATACGAGAGACTTATCCAGATCAACCAGGAGAATATATTCGATTAAGGGATAGTAGGGGGGATAGGATCAAGTTATCGTTTTGGGGGGACGGATATTGCCGAGATGGTTTCAAGCTCATAGTCGAATTCCAGGATAGTGGCAGCAGTGACAGAGGAGATGTGGGTAATAGAGGTGGAGGGGGTGAAAAGGGGTCATGGAATGGGGTGGATGTTGGGATACAGACGGAGAAAGTAGAGGTTTACGATGTAGGGTTGTCGAAGGAAAAAGACGAGGAGTGGGAGAAAAGGATGAACAAGCAGGTGGAGCGGGTGAAGGAAGGGAAGGCTGCGGCTTCGAAGGGGTCTACTTCGTTAGTAGACAGCACTGCGGCAGTTCTCTCCCTGCCGGAGCCCGTCCCCTCCTGGGTGGCCGTCAGCACAGATTCGTCCTCAACGCCAGTCTACAAAAAGCGTCAAACGGCCATCCGCAGTGCCGGCCCCCCTGTACCGCTTCCCCCTCGCCTTACTGCTCAGTTCAGCACCGACTCCGATTCGGCGTCAGATACAGCTACGGTCATCACCAAAACATCCACAACAACAAGCACCTCCAAAACTCCAACCCCCTCCGAACAAGCCCTTTTTACAACGCCGAAGAAGAAGAGGCCCAACCCCACAGTCGCCAAAACGCCCAAATCCGCAACTCGGTCGCCGCGGAAAAATTCTGTGCAGGACGGAACGAACCAAGCCACGCCAAAAGCAGTGAACAGTCTGGAGAATTACTGGGGCCCGGCAACAAAGCTGAGTCCCACCAAAGCTCTACAACCTGTGCAATTGCCACCACCACAACCGCTGTTCTTAAATGCGCGGGAGCAGCAAACTAGAGAAGCGTCACTGAGTCTTGAGCTGGAATTTGACGCAAAGCTAAAAACCACTGGTGGAACTGGGGGTATTTCAGGACAAATCAGGAGATGGAGCCCAACTATGACCGTAGCAGATAGCATGGGTGAGGAGGACGACTTTGAGGACCTAAAACTGGACCTATCATGGCATCCTCCGGAACACTCTATTCGGAAAAAGCTCCAAACGAAGGGGTGGAAGGGCAAGGAAGGTAGGGAGGTACCCTCCTGGGTACAAGGAAGAAGCACTGTTGAGAAAAGATCAGAAACCAGTTAGAATACCGCATACATAGATATCTATGTGCTTCCGCAATTTTGATTTCATGAGCATAGCGAATTCTCATTGGATAATACCTTTCTTTGTTCGAGAGGCATATGAATCTTCAGAGTCCTTTCGAAGCGTTTTTGCTGTAACTCGTTTTTTTTGTGTTGTTTTCGTCTGTAGTTAAAAGTTGGAGGGAATGCAGTATCTCCTGCTGTGTAAGCACCGGAAATGTCGCTTACCCATGAAAATGAGATTCTATAACGAGAACAAATTCTTATACAAAATCTTGGGATATATTTTTCATAGCGTGTTTTGACGATCTTTAATTACCCTCATTTGTTCTCACGCTCCGACCGCGCACTAACTGACATTCGGCCCCTATACCAGCTTGGTTGGGCCCTGGCGTATCATCATCACACGTGACCATCCATCCACACACCGATCCACCCAATGACGTATTTAATTTCCCACTACTCCACAATTGGACCCCGAAAATAACGCATCAATTCCCGCGCACTAAAAAAGGATTAGTGTTAAAAAAAAGAAGCACCCCACGCGAGGCTCGAACTCGCAACCTCAAGATTACTCTTCTATCGAGTAGAAGTCTTGCGCGCTACCATTGCGCCAGCAGGGCTTCTTATTGAAAACTGTTACTTTATTGATAGGATATGCACTTGTTATTCTGCTTAGTATCACAGCGCAGAGATTGAGATCTTGTACACGCGCACGTGCCGTGAACAATATGAAGGCGAGATGTACAGTACTCGTGGTTCGCAATTGTTTGCTAGCCATTGGTCGCACCAGTTGTTTCCTAAGATTTTTTACTTTCGTTGCCTAGGTCTCATTTGTCAGGCATCATACAAAAAGCAATAAGTTAGCTGTCCCCAACCCAATATTGTGCCCCCTGGAAACGAAGCGAAAATAAGCTACCTACTACATTGCTCTAAAATCTCTCTTATCAAACATCAAACAAGTGATATATTAAGTGATATATCCTGTGAAAAACTTTGAAACCTGCAGTCAATACAGAGCCTCATCTGTGGCCTTCACCGTTACAAGTACAAGTGGTGGCCAACGCCAGCAACTGTACACATGTACATAGATCAACCAGGCCAGCGCAGCGCGTAAGTATGTACACTAAAACCTAAAGATCGCTGTAGCGTTTTGCACCTTTGCTCTGCTGCGCAGATCTATTTCGTTTCTATCCCTACACTGAATCTACGAATACATGCCAGTTGCACTGACATGGCCCTCCTTACGCTGTTCGCTTGCGGCGCCGAGACTACTTCCTTACTTGCTATAACTCTTGCTGCTATGATATACATGCACTCTGCATGCATACAGAGCTAAGTACTCGCATGGTCACTTGTACGTCGCTATTACCTCAGGGCTTGTAACCCTCGCACCCCCACCCCACCTTGCCCCTCCCCTCCCCGGCCCCCCTCCACTCGTACATTTCCTCTCCTGCCATTGGACGAAGTTCCCACATATGCATACAGTATTATACGCCCTATCCCAAGTATTATTATCTCATGAGCTTTGCGTGATAGCAAAGAGAGAAAAAAAGAAAAGAAAAAAAAAGGCAATTGGGTTACACATTGGCTCTGACCTATATCATCTACCTCACCACACGACATTGCTCTTGTGCTCCCCCAAGTATACATAGCTAAGCTGAGTAAGGATACTTGTAGTAAACCGGCACCCCCAAGAAAAACAGCCTGGCAAGCTCAAAATTAATACCCAGCTAACAATAACAAATATCAAAAATTACCAACTGCAGAGAATCTACCAGATCTACCGCCGCTTCCATAACCGTCCGGTATCTCGACTGTCCGGATTCAACCCTAAAGTCAACGCGGTATATAGCCTTCGCCTGGCATTTAAATACAGCATAGCAAATTGCTGTCGAGTTAGTGTCAGAGCTCAGCTCAATGCTCATGTACGCTTTAAACTTTATACCTCAACTTCTATATGATGAATATCGCATCTTTCAATCCACAACAGTCAGCATCATCTATTGTCACCTGCAGGATACACTTTCCACAAGCAGCAACAGCCCCATCACATCCACCCTTTTAAACGTGGCGGGGCAGTCGGAAACAAAATTGGTTCCTGTACGTCCGTTACAGCAAAAGAAAACAAAAAGAAGTAAAGAGAAAGAGCAGATAGACAACCGAAGGGTTCAAATTTACACACCAACCAGAAGCAGAAGGGCTTTGTCAGCTTTGTATTAAGAATGTGTGGGTGCTGAAAACGTTATAACGCCACACTTTACGCTAATGTTCAGATAGAATGTAAAGGTATCGTGACCTTGCAAGTAAGGGGCATCTCAGCACAGGGTATAAGGGCGTAAACTGTTTGTTAATTGAGATTTCCTAGGTACATATACATAATCATAATCCCATTTATTTTACGAATACCAATACCACTTGCGCTGTTCCTGTTCATACCATCCAGCCTATATAGCTACCAGTCTTGCCATGTCCTAACCCCACGACCAAAATTAACCACATAGGCTCTCAAAAGATCTTGAGTGGAACTGAAAGAACAGAAGCGTACAAAGCGCAGTGACTCAGAGAAGACCTCCAAGCACTGAAAACCCACAAACGTAAAAAAGACACCCATTGAGGGGAAAAAGGAAAAGAAAACATTTCAGAAATCCATTCCAGCCATAGTTAAGTACGTATATAAAGGAAGATATAAGAGGTATAAATGAGGTCGGATGCAAAAGGAAAGTTAGACCCGCCCTGTTAGAAACCCAACTCGACGTGTAGTATTAATCAAATATGCCTCCATACCAAATTGCCCCAAAGAAAAGCCCGGGCCAGCCAACAAGAAGTGGGAATAGGAGACAGAAGTCCATTGAAGAAAAAGAAGAGAAAAAAGCAATGAGAATAGTACGCCGTGATCACATGGTTTTATATCCAAACCCCGACCGGATAGAAAGTAAGGGAATAGTACCATCCAAAGGAATAGATATACACTCAAAGACGCCGGGGTGATAACATAAAAATGAGGGAAAAGAAAGGAAGCAAGAAAGGCAAGTGAATCATGCAATGGCAAACATGCCGCACCGTAACCAAACCAAGTCAGACGCCCCAAGATGAACGCCCCAAGAACCGAATAGTGGAACATGTTTGAAGGTACAACAAACAATTGTCGCCGCTTTGGGAGATAGCTGGAAAAACACATATTGATAAGATATGCATTTCTATACCTTCTCCATCTTGCCAAAGGTCTGCTGCCAATGTACTAGTTTTCTTGTCAACACGTCCATAATTTCTGTGCTATGCATATTCGAAAAATCGACATTGCCATTCAATGCTGAAACCACTGATGTTTCTTGTTTCTCGCTATTACCATTTATAGTAATTTGAGGGACAGCTGAGGTAACGCCGTTGAATGAGGGTGCATCTGCCATTGCGGTATCTTTAATGGGTTGGGTTTTGTTCACTCGGGGCGAATTGATGCTAGCCTTGACGATATATGTTCGTTGCTTCTCGTTAGCCATTTCAAGTTGCGTCCTTTGGATAAACTCCATGATAGCATTGACACGTTTGTTCATGTCTGTTATGCTTGTCTTTGCTTGTGGGATCTTTGGTTTAGAAGGCTTTTCTATAGTTCCATTCACTTGAGGTGGCTCTTCTTTAGTCTGAGCGATGGAGTTCTTCTCTTGACCATTCTGTGAAGCATCTCGAGTCATTGCAGGAGAGGTAACGGTCTCATGCGGGTCTTCTGATTGTCGATAGTTGTTTTTATTGTTTCCTTTTCGGCGACCATGGTTGTTGTTGGTCCTACTGGTACGTTTAGATTGCTGGGGAGTATCCGGGACAACTACTTCAGTAACAAGTGGAGGGCTTGTTTCCTCAGTAGGAGTGCTTGCGGTTGTGATTTTGTTGTTGCGGCCGTTGGCTCTGACTGAAAATTCATCTGAATGCTCGGAATCTGCGAGAGATTTAGCATTGAGCTTCAATCAATCAATGAAGAAAGCGTTGCATTGGCATACCATCTTTCTTTGAGTCCTTTTTCTCAGCAGCCTTACTCCTTGTGATAGTACGCTTTGAGGAGGTTGTTGTTGTTGTAGTAGTAGTAGCAGTAGTAGTGACAGTGGTAGTTCGGGTCGTGTTATTCCGTCCTTTTTTACTCGTAGAAGATGAGCCCGTTCCCCTATCGATCTTGTCGTCGCCAGAGTCAACCGTGCCAGTAGTCGGTGTATCTGAGTCGGACGTCCTGGCTCGTTTGTACTCCTTTTGTCTATAGTAATTCATTATTAGCGATGAAACGTATGGCTTTTTGAGAAACGATTACATACTCGTCTGACCCTTCACTGGTTCCTCGTTTTCTTCCTCGAGTTCCATTACGGGAGCTCGACAGTTTGGCGTCCGATTTGCTTTCCTCTAGAACACGCTGAAGTACAGCCTCATCATAGGCTGCATCGCGAGAATTCATTGTCGAGCGTCGCTTGGTAGGCATATCTTTGTAATGCTGCGTGGATTCGGTGGGGCTGGCTTCTTGGTGGAGAGGTAGATAGAGTGAAGTTTTTGGTCTGCTCAATGGTGCTTATTGTCAGCTGGTCTGGCTTCCAGTGCAGGCTCTACGTGGCCGCGAAGATTCGAAGAGGACAAATCGGCTGAGAAAAAAAGGCACAACTCACCCGTGAGGTTTGATGATTAGTTTGTGCAATTCAGGCCGACACCGTTCGCAAAAGTAGTTCTCTGGGGCGAGAGCTTTGTCTGTGATTCCAACGCAGCATCCATGCTGCCAGACGTAGCATCTATCGCACTGGATGAACCACCCATCTGACGTGTCGGCCTGTTCGTCTTCGCCTTGGTATTCTTGAAACCCACAGATACACCTGGTAACTTCTTCGTCGTTTTGCGAACCGGTTTCGTCAACATCGTCGTCAGCCCCGTCTGGGTCGTGCACATCCACCGTGGTTGACATATTTCGGTGACGGGTGTCGAGGGCTGCGTCGTCTCTCACTCTGCCAAAGTGGGAATCATGGTCGACACTGTCGTCCTGGTGCCTGTGAAGACGAGTGGAGCTTGCACGAGTAGAGGAGGCAGAGGACGAAGACGACGAGTGGTGCGCGACTGCGGATGTGGGCCTCGCCCTAGAAGAACGGCGAGGTGACATTGTTCCTACACTATGGAGGGAGGAGGGGATGAATGATTTTCCCACTGGGTGGAGTGCGTGAATGAATCGTGGAGAACGGCTTGGGGGGGGGCGGGGGGGACAATGTCGAGAACGAGAGCTGTGTGAATGGAGGAGGAGGCGGGGGGAAGGGTGTTAGTAGTGAATTCGAGCAATGCAGTGAGGGAGCATAGATGCTGGTGTTGCGGGCTGGATTTTGGCGTGCGTGGGGATGGAATGGGCGGTGGGGATTGTTGGGGGGAGGAGGGGAGGGAAAAGAGGAGGACGCATGCACGAAGGGCAGGAGCAGCAGTGTGGGCAGGAGCGGACAGAGAAGGGCGCCGGGCGGACCGGGGGGGAGGGGGGTGGACGCAAGAGCGCTGCTTGGGGGGGGAGGGGGGAGGGGGGAGGGGGTTCCTGTGTGCGAAGCAAGTGACGAGTGGGAAATAGTGTGTGGGCTGCTGCGACCTGCTAACTCTACCGCAGGTAGCTCCATTATTT